GCCTACTATGTGCCTGCTGTTCTGTGAGGCAATGGAACAAGAACCATTCCATTTCATGGAAGCTGTATTCATTGTAGGTGACCCCTCTTCATTGAGATACTTTAGCTCCCGAATCCAGTGGTAGGAAAACTTTCTGGAAAAAGCTAGATAGTTAATATATTAGACTTTCAGGTCATCTGATTTTTTTTTTTTTTTGACACAACTGATGAACTCTGCCACTGTAGGGCAAAAGCAGCCATAGTTAATTTGTAAATGAGTGTGGCTGGTTGTGTTTAAATAAGACTTTATTTACAAAAACAGGCTGTGGGCTAGATTTGGCCCCATTGGCTGTAATTTGCCAATCCCGCCCTGTAGGATAGCATTTTAGACTTACACCTCATCAGGATTTTTGGCTATAGTTACTTCAGGTGAAATTTAATATTATATTCAAAAAAATCTACCTTATAAGTGATTCAGCAGTTGATCTGAATTAGAGCATCAAAAAGTTCTTGATTCTACTTTGATAAGAATTGCTCTGATCTGGAGAGAGAGCAGTTTTCTCAGGAATGTCTGCGACTACGGGGAGTCAGCGGCTTCCTCCTGGAAGTGAGGAGTGTGCAGAGCAACACTTTCTGAGCTCCTTTGGGAAAGCACTGTGCATAAGCCACTGCCTCAACCCTCATTACAGATCTGGAAGGCCTTTTTATAGGTGGGAAAATTGAAAATTAGATAAAGAATATAACTTGCTCAAGGCCACTCTGCAGGAAGTGGGGCAGAGGGGATCCAAACCCAAGGCTTCCCGACTTCTCCGAACATTGGGTGGCAGATCTTTAATCAAGTTCGTTTCGTTTGGGCTTTCCAGACTTTACTTTCTAGAAGTGGCACATGTTTATCGTGTATTTGAGAACTGTTTGACTCCAGTGTATGGACATCTATATTCTTTCTTGATAAAATAAATGTGTATGATACTGATGATTGAGTTCTTCATGATGTATTCTTTCCTACACATTCACACCTGCTATAGTCTATATCCTATCAGTGAACATCACCAAGGAACACTGGCAAAGGATGGCAGGAATGAATATGTAGAAAAGAGTGCAGGTGTTCATTTTTGAATCAAAATAAAAACAATGCCACATAATTTCTAATGAATACTGAATCATTAAGCATCTCAGGAAAAGGTATGAAGTCCCACTACAACTTATACCCAATGAGTAGGACTTGGAATGCAATGATTTTTCTCATTTCTGATAAGTACCTTAAATTATAAAAAGACACATGTATGTCACTGCATTCTTTTTAAGGGGCTTCTGAAAACAAAACAAAATAAAATAAAACCTCCACCAGTGAATCAACAGATGGCTCACTATCCCCATGCTTCTTTCAATGATTGCTTGTGACCCTCACTCGTCTTTTGAACCTCTTGGCCCAACAACTCATTTTTGGGTACCAAGGTACAACTGCTAGACCAATCCTCACTCCTTTCCCTAAACTACTCTGTCATGGCAGTTGGAGTGGTTTGGAAGTTCACAGCTCTGCCTTTCTGTGTTAAAATTAACCATCCCCCAACCATTCTGTTACAAAGGGAGCCTCTGGAGATGATGGGGGATGGCTCATCCCTTGCAGGAACAGAGGCTTCTGCCCTCCCTTCTGGCAGTGCAAGGACACTCAGCAGGGAGAACTCCGCCACCCAGCAACCTGCACCACACAGCAACCTGCTGTGTGTGTTTGGCTACTTTTGGCTGAGGCCAGCAACGTTGCGCTGTGGTTCCTTGTTGGCTTCCACAGAAATGGTTCTTTCAAACCTGCACCAAGCAAGATGCATTTAACTGACCCCATTCCTTTTAACAACCGAGCATGACAGCATTTAATAGCCTTGCAAAGACGGCGCGCGGCTGCCACCGCTCTGCCTCATTACTCACTGTTTCAGGATGGTGCTCGGATCCAATATGCACATTTTAGTCACGTCATGCCTGGGAACCCAACCACGCTTTTGTCCTAGCTCACCTCCCCGTTGTATCTTATTTAACATGTTTAGCTCATGTCTTGTTTTGATATTTGCTTTATTTAATTGGGTTGCCCCGGCCTCGCTGTTGCCCCGGTCTACATCCTGAAGATGCAGAATTCTTTTCTGATTGTTGTCGGCCACTTGAGAAAGGCAGAAATGTGTGCGACAGCATCCTCTTTGGATGCGTGTTCAGGAGGAGGAATATGTGACGGATGTAAATGCTGTCCAAGGGTTTTCAGTGGGGGGAAAATGACAGGTTCCTGGGACACATGGGTGCGGAAGGGAGCTCAAGTCCTGCACCATACCCTCCTTGAACTCTGGGTGACAGAGCAAAGTCTCCTGGATAAACTGGTCAAATGGAGGATGCTGCTGCCCGAGGGAGAGGATGCAGGAGAAGGAGGAAAATGGACCCCCACCACTTCTCCACAATCACCACAAAGCCAATTAAGCGGGAAGTGCCAGTTCTGGGCACCCTAAGGAGCTGCTTTTTCCAGCCTAGCCCCTGATGTGAGCTGCCTTACAAAAAGCAAGGGACTCCCAAGCGTTCTGCTCTGAGCAGTGAAAACAGCTTTGAGCACTTGTAAACACAACAATTGGGACGGGGATGTTCGCCTGTAATGATTGTTTATGCTGGAAGGTTGGCTGCCACTGTGGTTAGACAAATGCTCCCACTTCCGTGGAGATAAAAGGCAAGCATGTGCAATCAGTGAGGAGAGTGTGTTCGTTCTGGGGCTAAATGGCATTATAAAACTTCCTAATTAAGCATATACGCCAATGAGTTTTTAGCATCCTTTCTCCAATTTAGCTTTACATACTGGGTGCACTGTTTAGTACGGCATTAACTATAAACATTGTTGTTACTGCCCCCAGCTGGAAAATAGAGCAGTTTATGTGTGGAAGAAAAAAGAGATTATCTCCCATCTGCTCCTGCCCATTATTCAGCGATGTGTCATTTTGTCGGCTGATGGGAACCATCACGAGGATTTTCCTTAAATGGTCTTTTATACTTGTCTATATTTATTAATTATTGTGTTCACTTGGCATTTTATTCTTACCTTTAATCCTGCAAATTTAGTCATTTAATTTTCTACAAGTTTAGCTTTTTGGGGGGGGGGATTAGATGTGTTTAGACGTGATTTTTATTAGACAAATATGCACAACTGTAATTAGACATACTTGATGCCCGTTTGTAATTGTATATCAACTTTACACATATATGTCTGGTTAATATGCCTGAGGATAGGAGACGTGCAATTAAAAAAAGGATGGAGCATGGTGTGATGCAGTTTATAGAAAGTACAAACCAGGCAAAGCTAATTAATGCAGATAGACTCTGGGGTCAGTGTTTACCCCTGGGGCGAAGTGACCTTCCTAGAAGGGCCTGGGGGAACCTCCTGGGGTGCGAAGACTGTTCTGAGCCTGATCTGGGTGCTGCCGGGTCAGTTAGTGAGAATCTGGGGCATGTATTCATGAGGTGTGCACTTTTCTGCATGGATCTTAGCTTTCAGTAAAAAGTAAATGATGCATGAATCATCTTGCACCTTAAAAAGTCAAAAGTCAGAAGGTGCACCAAGGCAAATTATGATGAATTCAACCCTTCACTCCCACAAGGTAAAAAAATAAAGTTCTACATCTATAAAGTAATTTACTTAGGTCAATAAAAAGGTGGACATGCGACTCCTACATGTATATCAACCTGAAAGAGATAGACAGCTTTCTCTATAAAAATGACTTTAAAAATACCTTATTGAGGTTTGGGTGTCTCCTTGCTTTAAGCAGTTTTGGAATTCATCATGACCTTGGTATATTTGGATCGTCTGTCAAAGCATGCCCTTTTTTGACTTCCTTAAGTTCTTTGTTTTGAGTGTTTTAATGATAGAAAAATAATTAGGAGTAAAAACTTGGGGCTAAAATTATATACAGATATGAAATATATATATGTATATATACACACACATACACACACATATCTACTTTTTTTTTTCTGTAAACTTGGCTGTCTAATCCATGAAACAGTGCCAGGCAGTCACTACATTACCATAACAGGCTCCATCATTTGGGGAAAACAATGCCAAAACCAGTGATTTTTTCTTGGCCAATGCTAAGACATGGAGCTTTACCTGGAGATCATTTGAGAAACATTAAGTGGGAAAGGAAAAAGTTCCCTAGGACTTCCCAGAGTTCATTTCTCAAACCATCAAAAACCATCCTGTTTGTGGATAACTTAAAGAGACACAAGTGATGTTTCTTGAAGGAAATGCCAGGGCCATTGACTGGAATAGAAAATGATTGGATAGAATTCTTCACCCAGTTACAAAAAAATCAATACCTCCCAAAGACCCTTTTGCTTGAGCAGATAAGCCAGCTAAATAATCTGACAGTTACAAATATTGAAAAGTAAATTCATGCAATAGCTAGTACATAGAGGGATTTCCAGGGAAGAGAGGTAACAATAGAACAAAAACAAAACAAAAAGGTGGAGGGTTTGAAAACACAGGATAACCAACACACACAATGCATTGTATAGCCCATTGTACTTGGAGGCGCTTCTACTACTAAGGTGTAAATGCATTGTTTCATCCATCTCAGAAGGTCAAGGTTGGGCTTGATGATTTTAAAATGACAGTATATGCTTCTATAGAATAGAAACTAAGGTGCTATTGTTCTTCCATTTGTTAAGGGACAGAAGAGCACTGGAAATCATTGCTTTAATCAGCAATCAGGAAAATGCTTTGGCATGAACACTAAATATACTGTCCTTTTAACCAGAAGGGAAATTGATACTGAGCATGTGCAATGGAAAGAAAGCTGGCAAATGTCAGTGTGAATAATGGGTGAAAAAAAGGAATGAGGGGGTGTGGCATCTCAATCAAGATTAAAATGAAACTGATAAAGCAGCATATGGACTGGATAACAAATCAAAAGCATGTTTATCCACTGAAGGAACTGGTTAATGGAGACTGCCAGCACGTTGCCATGGAAACACTGACTGTTGAGCTGCACCATCTCATACCTTATCCAATACATTCCTGGTTGTTGGTAGTAGTCCAAAGACCCTGATCTCTTGATGGTAAACCCGTGGTCCAGCTGAGCAGAGAGAAATGGGGGCAACTCAGTGGATCAACATTGTGCTAAAGAATTAAGACTCCAGACCAAGCTGTCCTTCACTAACTAGATAGGTATCGTCACAATGCCCCTTCTGCAGGGTAACTAGCTAAGGCCTTAAATCCACACATTGAAAACAAAACAAAATGAAAAAAACAAAACCAAAAAATAAAAAACAAGAAAAGAGACTAGTCCCTCATGACTCTCTTGAATGTCAATTTGTTAGAATAGATCTAGGGTGTTACAGCAGTTTTTGAATGCACATTTAATAAAGTCCTTGCAATTTCAAAAGATATAAACACCTCTTCATATGCCATTGAATGGAAAATGCTTTATAATTAAATAATGCACTTAAATCAATGTTAGCCACCTAAGAGAAAGCAGATTGGACCCTCCCCCAAATATTACCCTATGAGGTTTAACTTTGAGGACCTCATAACTATGAAATAAAAGGGGGAAAGAATCATGTTTTGAAAGCCCATAAATCACAGCAGTTTGGATTTCTGTCTTTAGGAGCTCATCTTCAAAAACAGATCTATTCTTAGAGGTGAATCAATTACATTTCTGAACTAAAGAGATACAGTGTAATGCAGTCAGTAAATTTTCTCTACAAAAATATGAAAAAAATGCAACAAAAACATCTTTCACTATATTAAAAATGCATATAAACAATGAAGTGCTTCAGATCAATAAACAGAAGGTCAGATATGCTTTCAAAGTGGTTCATCCTGGACTAAGATGTTAGCTTTTGGCTACGTGGGAATAAAAATTCCATCCCCAAACGGGAAGACTCAACAACAGGCTGCATGCCCACTCCCCTGTTCTGCCCATGAGAGGACGCCATTTGCACGCCTTGTTTTCCACAGAGGCTCTTGAGTTCTGTCGAACGATGCACTGCTGTGATGCTTTAGACAGCCCCTGCTTCCAAATTCACAAAGGCATTTTAAAAACATGCTGGCTACCAGGCATTTAAACTAACAACCACTGGGGAGATTTGGTGGTCTAATTATAAACTAGGCTCTCCTGGTGTTGGTTGAAAGCTGTATGAGGTTTTCCTATTTTTAAAGATGCACATTTCATTGTTTAAAGGGAAAAAAAAAAGAAAAGAACCTTGAAGTACACTTGCTCCTTGGAAGGTGTGCACTTGTGTTTCAGTCCACAACGGTGGCTACTTAGTAACTAGTTCTCTACTGCCATCTAGAGGTAAAGTGTTACTTTACAGGACATAAGGTCTCATTTAGAACTCAGCTTCCCCGTATCACAATTATGTGCACGCTGATTAGTATGGATTTGTTCAATTAGACTGAAATGTTCTATTTGCATGAGCAAAATGCAAAAGAAGAACTTTAAAGCATTAGGAAAATTATCGGTTAAAATAATAAACAGCATTAAATGAGGAAAAATAAATTGGAACTGACATCTTAGTCATCGGTTCTTCATCAAGCTGAGCAAATCTAATAATACCTCCCTTCCTCCCTCTGCTCTCAAAAAGTCCACCGTTAAAATGTCATCTCTAATTCCATTTTATGTCTATAAATTGCATTTTAATAACCTTTTGTTTCCCTTTCCCTGTTCTGCTTTTTTTTTTTTTTTAATCCCCCAACTACTGGGAAAGGTAGTAGAGAGACAATGGAGTTCTGGGAGGCAGAATGCTGCCATTCTAAGGGCAATGATAGGGCTCTGCCTAATCACACTGTTTGACCTGTGTCTGGACACCTTCCCCCCTTTCACAAGGGCCGTGGGACCCTCGTGAGACACGGCTGGTGATCATTCTCGCTAGACAAATCAAGGCCTTCTTGCAACCTTAATATAAACTTATCATCTGTCTTTTCTTTCGTCTTAATAATGCCGGGGGGTGGGAAGCGGAGAACAAAATGACAATATGAACAAAAAACAGGATGGCTTGGAACTACAAGTACATGTGGAACTACGCTCGTGTCAAAAATTATTCCTGCACAGGCAGTCTGTTTGTTATGACAGCATGCTCTCTTTAATTTTGTCATGCTAAGAAAGAAAAGCATCATGAGTTGCTTTGTAAACATCATTGATCTCCAGCAGGTAGGTAGACTTCTAACTAAGGAAGGAGAAATAAATTATAAGACCAAAGATTTAATTGCTGATTTCCTGAAACAAAATGAAAGAAAAACACTCTATTTTAAATGGTATTAAAAAAACTTTCTAAATGGTATATGTGATCCCAAAAATATCAGTGCTATGATAGAAGAAATTTAAAATAAAACTTACTATTTTATAGCTTCTGGGGAGAGCACATATGCCCAGGAAAAAATTCTTTCTGAATGCAGAACTTATGTTGAAATTAGTATTTTTTAAATCCATAATCCATGGATTGACTTCATTACTATGCTATGCTACGTTAACTGATACAGTGAATTAATAACTATATTGACTTTTTAAATTGTCAAATGATCTTTCTAGAATATCCCACATAGGAGGATAATTCTAGCTTCTGCTTATATCCTACCTCACCACAAAATATTGTTTCTTGGTAGTCACGCTATAGTTTGAGTTACAATAGTATTTAATGCCAAGGCTTCTCTTTCTTGTGACACTTAACCTTTGCACTTTAAGAATGGAAAGACTGTTATGAAATATGAATGGACTTATCCAATGACGTTCTGAAAGGTAATAACAAGGGCCACCAAACTGGCCATTTTCTGATTCCCAGCCCTGTCCTGTGACCTATGACCTTGCACAGGTTCTTGTGAAGGGCAGGGATGCCTTCGAAGGGAAAAGCATTCCGGAGAAGCTGAGTGAATGCACGTTATGACAGTCCAGATTCTCTTGAAACAAGTGCAATTCACACTGAGATTCTGCCTCATGCTGGACATAGCAATGATAGTAGTGAACTTGTGACTTGTGCTAAAGAGCTGACAAGGCACTTTACAAGACATATTTCTCCCCAGACTAGCCAATTACTTTGAATTTGTGTGAAGTTACTAATTATTTTTTTAAAAAAAAGTTTGTAGCAAGAAGAGTAAGTAAGTGTGTGACTAACATGGACCTTAGCATCACACAGCCAACTATCCATTTTGTGCATTTTCCAGGGGAGGCATGCTAACGCTGAACTGAGAAACCTGCATTCAAAATTACATTGAAAATGGTCCAATTGTGATGGAGAAGAAAAAAATCAGTGGAAATTTGATTTTCAAATACTCGCTGGAGTGTTTTGAGATGCACTTAGATGAACTTTTAATGAACTCATATGGATTAGGCTTCAGAATTTATCTGGGTTTGATTAAAATAGGATTTCCTTTCAAATACATGTTGTCTGTCAACTGGAAATTGCCCTGTAGTTTCTGCCCTTAGTCATCGCCAGACTCCCAGAACACTGTGAACAAAGCATCCCTGAGCAACCAAGGCAAGCTTAACCAAAGGCTAACGCAAACAAAAGACCAGGGGAAAAGGAAGCAAAAAGCAAATGACCGAGGTGGAGAAGGCGCCTTCTCTGACGAGCAGTGCGTTTCATGGACAAGCGTGCTGGCAGTCCGTTCCAAAAGAAAACCATGGGATCAAATGTTTGGAATGGACTTATCTCTTGCATGAACAAATGAAACCAGTGTCCAGGATGTTCGGGTTAGTGCAGAGTCACTATGACTTGACTGAATGTTCCCTGATAACAAAGAATCCTGACAATCTACAAAACACGTGGATGAGAATTTACACCAAAGTTGAGTTTTCTTAGAAAGAACTAAAGAGACTGGGCATGGAGAACAACTTGGGATTTTAAAAACTCAGCCGCCTCGGGCAACCTCTGACAGGGTGTGCACTCTGTTAGCACCGTCAGCTTGCTCATGTGCCAGTTACCACACACCTGGAACCTGCTATTGAAAGGGTTTAGCTGAGAAACACGAAAGCAAACAGTACAACAGTGAGTCTGTACGTGTTCGTACCATTCGCTCATTCTGGAAGCCCATATCAAATATTCAGTAACCTACATCTGGGATTGGTTGTATCAAACAGGTCACTTATTTATCTTTTAGTGCTAGCTGGAGCTCTAGCACAGACAAAAAAGAAGGCAAATTAAAAGCATCCACAGGAGTGAAACACTCAGTACTGCTTATAAGCATGAGGTATTGTTTCATAATTTCTAAAAATTCCACATTGAAGTATCTTCAGAAAAGCAGCTCAAGTGATTTTTTTTCCCATGGAATATGCTGTTAAAATGTACTCTGAAAAAAGAGGAAATTATTAAAAACTCCAGCAATCTGGTCCTTGAATATATTTACTCTAGAAAATGACACCAGGAAGTATGAGGTTTCATTATTTCTCGGTCCAATTTAATCTTTGCCTAGAGCTGTTAGCAAATTGCATGTTGTGTATGTCTACGTGTACAGAGCAGGAGAGACGAGGAGCTTCTCTGCAGTTGCATCCATCAAATGGTGAATGCTAAAAGACTTCAATGTTAGGAACAGAAATTTCTAAGGAGCAAGACATCGTGACTTCACTGGGTGTTCACAGCATCTCCCTCTCACTGAAAATCCGACTGCATAAGCTTCCTGCGATGTGTAGGCTTTTGTTCAGGACTAGGATAAAGATCTATGGAACTCAAATCTCTCCCTGCACGTCGGCTCTCTCACCTCCCCTTTCTTTCTAGGTCCTGGCCACAGGACACTCTGAACTCTTTTCCTTGGGGCCAAAATGTTTGCACTGGCACAGAGTCCAGTGTGGGGGAGGTTTTCTGCTTAAAAAAAGGCATTTACAGCAAGACACCCTGGGGGGTTGGATCAGGATGTGAGCCCAGGGGAATGAGCTGCAGCAACACAGACTGTGTGGACCAGCCTCTCTCCTCCTCCAGTGCAGTAAGTGGCTGAGCTGTCTAAAGAAATGACCCATTCTGCTGTCTCTGGGTGGAACCTCCCGAGTAATGCCTGTCTCTTAGGTGGGCTGCTTTATAAAAGTTACAGGTGGATATTTCAGATGCTTACTGCTATGACAGACACTCCAGCTGCTGTGCTGTTCGGCTTGGGGCCCGTGTTGAAATGCTTCTTTATCTTTCCAGCCACTGACAGCTGATGCTCATTTTCTGGGAGGCCATCATCCTGGGGAAAAAAAAAAAAAGGAAGAGAGCGAAAGTGAGAGAGAGAGAAATAGAGATGGGAGAAAGAAGAAACATTAGATACATAGAAAATGCGACCAAAATCCTCTGCCAGGCAATGATCTCAGCACTCTTCAGACACCGGAAGTAAGGCAACTAATGTCTTCTTACCAAACACCATTGTTGAACATACTGCTCATTCATTTCCACCTCTACTGTAAAATTAATTTTCTGTGTCATCTGACCCTAAGGGTTTTGCTTTAAATTAAAGAAAAAAAATGTTGATTTTGGTTTCTAGTAGAATCTGTTTACACTCACAGCTCTAGCAACATATGTTAAAGAACCAGTTAACTTGGACAAAAAAAAAAAAAAAAGAAAAGAAAAAAGAAAAATGAATCTCTTATTTTTTTCTTCCTAGCCCATCATTTAGACCCAAAACCAAGGAAACTGGCAACATGTGCTGCTATAGGGCTATAAATAAACTCAGGTTTGTATCACAGCTACTCAATCAGTTGTCTATAATCCCAGACAATCTGCCAGGAGGAAAGTTCCTCCTTATGATTACAACCATCCCTACTGCCTTCAAATCATCTGTCAGGATGACACATTCCACACTGGCGCTCACTCTGTTCCCCACAGCAACCGCCCATGGCTGAGGCTGGATAGAGTGCTGTCCTGGATTAAGTGCTGCTAGAGTAGCCATACCTGGGGCCATGAGAATGAGCGGCCATTTACTAATTCCTGACAGGAATGCTGCATGACTCTTAAAGGCAAAGATCGTGTTTGGTTCACTATGGAATTCCCAGGTCTTAGCATGCTGCAGAGGCACCTAGTAGATGCTTAATAAATTACTGCTGATTAAATGAATGAATGGATAATAAAGTGCTACAATCTATTAAAACTAAAATCCTTGCAACACGACCAATGCCATTCCTCTTTTTCCTTCTCTCCTTTCACCCAATCATTTTGCACTGAATTCCGTGGCTGTACCCAGAAAAATCAATTTGCTGCTTTTTAAGCATGATGTGCTTGTTCTATTTGTATGAGCCAGTCTCTCCAGGTGGGATTTACTTCTTCCAGCATTTGGCCATTCATTTATTCAACTAATACTAACTACGTATCTATACTGGAAGCAGGTGGTAGGGAAATGATAGACAAAAATAGGCTTGAACCATGCTCTTCTGTGACCCTGTGTTCCCTTAAAACTTGGGTCCCTAATGACCTATTCCAAGACATTTTCCTCCAAGCATCACTCCCAATGCCTTTCCATTGTATCAAACTGTACTATTCATATTTCTTTGTGTTAGGTGACAGCAGGTATAATCAGTTGCATATTTCATTTATCCAATATATCATGCATATATTTATTTAACTCTTGCCCTCTTGTACCAAACTTTCCTTACTTGTTCAGTGTCTGTACACAGTGGATTTTTAATTTATGATATTCTTAGACTTATTCATTACTGGTTAGAAGAAGAAATAATTAATATGCTTAAGACACATCTGACACCAAATCTGGAGGAAGACGCTTTTCTAAAAATATATGGGGGCCGGCTCTGTGGTATACAGGTAAGGCTGCCATCTGTAGTGCCGACATCCCATATGGGCACCAGTTTGAGACCCGGCTGCTCCAATTCCGATTCAGCTCTCTGTCGCTCCCCCTCTTCATGGAGGAACGACACAGGACCCTGCACTGTTCTTTCGTCTGCTCAGCCCTTCCTGGGTTTGCTGCTGGTTCTTCCCGGGTTGGCTACCGACCCTTCCACCTCCCCTGCCACTTTCCCCACTTCCGCGGGGGAGCGGCACACCGCCGGCCGGCTCTCTCGGGGGCTGCTCAGGTGTTCCTCAGGTGTTCTCCTTAGATGTTCCTGGTGCATGTTGTCTCTCTCCTCTTTCATAGTCCTCTTCCACCAGTCCCAACTCTGCTACCCACACGCCGAGTACGCTGCTCTCCTCCAATCAGGAGCGGGATCAGCCCCTGCAGGTTACTGGTTGAACTGGAGGCAGCTGTGTAAAAGCTGTTTTTACTCCTCTCCCAGCACCATATTGTGGGAGAGCAGATGCATAGAATAAGTCTTAATTCCAGTAACTTAGTCTAGTCCGAGTTGCTCCCCACAGCTCTCTATTGTGGCCAGGGAAAGCAGTAGAAGATGGCCTAAGTCCTTGGGCCCCTGCACCCGCGTGGGAGACCTGGAAGAAGCTCCTGGTTTCAAATCAGCCCAGCTCTGGCTGATTTGGCCATTTGGGGAGTGAACCAGTAGACAGAAGACTTCTCTCTCTCTGCCACTGCCTCTCTGTAACTCTGCCTTTCAAATACATAAAGTATTGTAGAAAGAGTCAGAGGCTGAAGCTTGATTTGAGTGGGATTATACTTCAGAAGAGAAGAGAAACGGGTGAACAAAGCACCTAGGATGACAAGGGCTATGGCAGGGATGGCAGGGCATAGGGGGAAGAAATGATCTCTGCCCTCAGATCCTGAAGAGCTAATTGGGAAACAAAGTATACAAACGCCTTGTCCAGTAAAGAAACAAGTCAGCAAGATAATAAAGCTGTCACAGGCAGTGCAGCCTCATGCCTCAGCCAGAGACATCCAGGGAGCTCAGAGGAGACAGGACGTGTTCTCTTGCAGGCAAGCAGAGTAGACTTCATGAGGGCTGTGGGGTTTGACCTGGCCCTTGATGACGAGAATGGAGGGGAGGTGGGATTTTGGAGAGCAGTGTATGCTGTTGGGAAGTCACAGGCATGTTTGCTAAATCATGAGTCAACTAGCTCACCTCTGGCCTGAGAGAGTAATGGCAGACAAAGCTGAAAGATCAGGAAAAGTCTGGCCACAAAGATCCAGATGGAAGCATCAGTCTCAATTAGGATCGAAGCAGTGCTTCTTAGTAAAAGGGGTCTAAAGGTAAAAACTGGGAAGGACTTCCCTCCTTTAATCAGACATTTTCCACAGTGCACTATCCTGTTCTGCAAGTGAATGAGAAGTTTGATTATAATCACAAAGAATCAGAATTTTTTTTTTTTTTTGGTTCAAAGTTTGACATGCAGGACAAATTTCAATGGTGTCTATAAATTTTTTTTTAAATGGATGAAGAACAGACCCCTGGAATTTTAGTCACACAACTGCCCTTGCAATCTAAAGTAGATCTTTTTTTTTTTTTAATTGTATGTATTTTACTTTTTCTTTGAGAAGGAGAAGGGAGAGACGGAGCACTCCCATCTGCTAGTTCACTCCCCTAAATGCCTGTAACGGTTGGGGCTGAGCCAAGGTCAAAGCTGGAAGTGAGGAACTCAACGCTGGTCTCCCACATGGGTAGCAGGAACCCAGTTACCTGAGCCATCACCACTGTCTCTCTGGGTCTGCATTAGCAGGAGTCGGGACCTGGAGTCCAGGAGCCCCAATACAGGAAGTGGTGTCCTAACTGGGAGGCCAAGCAACCTCCTCTAAGTTAGAATTCTTGCGAGCATTTACACATTTGACAAGGGGTTAAATGAGCCTGAGAGTCTTAGAAATACTGGAAGTATGCTTCTGGCATAACTTGGAGGGCTGCCTAGTGAAACATCACTTAGATGCTGTGACGCACACTGTGCCTCACTCCTAAGACTGCAACTGTACTTCTCACCATCTCGCAACGGAGTTCCAGGATACCTCGGGCAAAGGGCGTTATATGCAGCTTTGATTAAAAAGTAGTTTGCCAAACATGTTGGGAAGTGGGTCAGGGGAAGATTTATAGGACAAAAGAAACTCATTTGGTCCCAGGATATGAAGCTGGTAGAAAGGGAGGGTTGGAGACAGGAGGAAGGGACAGGGATAAGGGGTAGAAATGAAGCAGTTTGCTGATGGAGGCTGGGTAGGCTTTTCCGTTTTTTTGAGGTAAGATGAAATAAGGAAAGAAGGAGTAAAACCCGCTTTGAGGTGTAGGCGAAGCAAATGAAAAGAGAAACACAGGGAGAAGGTAATGCAACAGTCCCCACGGGGCTGGTGCTGTGGCATAGTGTTAGTTAAAGCTGCCGCCTGCAGTGCCAGCATCCCAAATGGGCACTGGTTCAAGTCCTGGATGCTCCACTTTCAATCCAGCTCTCTGCTATGGCCTGAGAAAGCAGTGGAAGATGGCCCAAGTGCTTGGGCCCCTGTACCCCCATGGGAGACCTGGAAGAAACTCCTGGCTCCTGGCTTTGGATTGGCGCAGCTCCAGCCATTGTGGTCATCTGAGGAGTGAACCAGTGGATGGAAGACCTGTCTTTCTCTCTCTCTCTCTGCCTCTGCCTCTCTGTAACTCTGTCTTTCAAGTAAATAAATAAATCATTTAAAAAAAAGAGTCACCTGTTACAAGAGCCTGTCCTAATGATGTACATAGATCTCATTTTCAGACTATCTTCTATGGCTGGCATAAGCAGTCCCATTTTGAAGATGGGCAAACTGAGGCTTAGCAAAGTAATGTAATTTGCTCAAAGTCACACAGTGGTCAAGTCAGGACTGAACCAGGTCCCAAAGTGTGGATTCTTTCTATCAAGGACATTTACTAGCATAGTTTCTGGTTGTCAGAGGGCTCCATAAATATTGAATGGAAATGCTCGGTGAATCACTGTTTCCATGATGCAAGACACACAGCAGTGGAGGGGAGTGAGAATTGAATTAGGGGCTGAAAACACCCGAGACATTTGGACAGGACTTAGGGAGCCTGGGAAGGATTTGGAAGTCAATGAAAGGAATAACGAGCACTTCAGGGGCCCGGAGGAACACAGAAGCTTAGAATAAAGGAGAGACTGGGGGTCCCCCTCTCTGGGATGCGGCAACGTGACCTGTGGGGGCTGGGGCTCCAGGGGGCCCCTGGCAGCAGGTGGCACTCAAGGCCTGGCTCACATGGGACGAAGTGAAGTTGTCCCGGGCCAGTTGTGTGCTGCTGTAATGGCACAGGCTGGGTGTGAATATGGAGAAAAATCGCTGGATTTCCACAGGAGCACCCTTCTTAACTTCCCAAGGGAGATTTGTCACTTGCTGGATGA